ATTATAAAATTTATATTGAAAAGTAAAAGGCATGAGAAAACGTCTCAAGAACAGATGGTTTTTTATAGAAGGAATAAATTTATGCTGTCACTTTTAGCAGAGTTCTGGACAAGTTATACCCAAACTAATCACCAGGAACAACGGACATAGTAATGTCTATAGAAAGGCAGCCAACTGGTTGGCAACCCTATACCACAATTCATGTATTGGTCAACTGGATTTGCAATAAGGGTAAGGTGGAAAATTTAATATAAAAAAATTGATTGTGTGAAAAAGATGTATCGGTCAACTGCCATTCATTGTTCTATAATCTCACCCAAAGCATAAAAAATAACAGTGTGAAACAGATACAAACCTGAGATCGTATTCTTCTCCTCCGCTCTAGGAAATTTGATCTGTGTTCAAGTAGATCATGATATCTAGCTTCTCTTGGTCTTGATGTTTCCACCTCATAGTCTTGGATGCTAAACAATGAACTAGACATATTGGATGGAGGATAACCAGACCCATTTTCGAAATTTACAGCATTGCCTTCAGGTGCCATTGTTCTTGTATCATCGCCTTGATTTGTATCTCTCACTTCTCCTTCTTGTTGCAAAGAAGAAAATGTTAAATCAGATAATGATGATCGACGAAGTACCCTGTCACGAAGTCTTCCAACACTTAAAGTTCTACTGAAACGAACATTCCGTTCAACAGGTTCCCGAGCACCTGGCCGTCTTTCAGAAGGTCTAGTTCTGTTGCTCCCTGTTTCATTATGATTTCTCGGAGAACACAAGTTTACACCAACCCCAATTATTGTACCGTTAGCATTTCTACCAACATCGTGTCTAGAAGAATTTGTCTGGTTATCTTGCAAGTTATCAGAAAAACCACATCCCGGAGAATTTAATCCTATATTGTCAGAAGTCTCTTCATAAAAATGTGTTGCGCTCCTATTCATCTGTGACTGTGGAAGGTCACTGGCTTCTTGGCTTTCATCTCTGTTTACAAAACTTCTAGCAGGTCTTGAATGCAGATGAAGTTCATCTTCGTTGTTTGGTATTGTGAGACTTGTTGGAGATAGAGGATTGGATGACCCTAAACTGGTTGCCCGACTTAATCTGAAGCTTACATTACCTGGAATGAAACTAAAACGAGAAAGGAAACGACTTGAAGGGTTCAAAGATGGAGCAGCAGCTTGGGCAGAGCTGCTACCAGCTCTGGAGGCAGTATCAGTGATACTAGCCTGACCCCATTCATTGAGCTGAACATTTGAAGATATACACGGAATTTCATCAGGTTGTTCAACGTTAACCTTTCTGAAACACTCAACCTTTGCATCATCTGGCTCTGTGTCATTCAAACTTGCACATGGAGCATTATTTCTATTTTCTTTGTTCTGATGATCACATACCTAAAGCATGAGTTACACACTTCAGTTCCTTAAATAATTTTTGGCCAATTAACTGCACACCAGCAATATAAATAAATAAAAGTTTTAAATAACAACCTATCAGAAACATTCACCATATACATATGTTTGGTAGAGGAGAAAAAGTGAAGTCTAGTATCAGAAACATAGAAGCAACCATAGACAAAGAAAGTTCCAAGTGACGAGGCATATACTGCATCAACTTTTTATTATAAAGAAATATTATAGCCCAAACAATGGGAACTCCCCGGATAAAAAGCCTTAACATACACAGGACAAGGGGTTAGCGGTTTTTGTGAGCCTGCAGTCACAAGAGTTATTCATGGGATCTCGTGGATAAATATCAAAGTTGGAAAAGTACGATGTGATTTTGTAATGTATAGGATAACCTATGTGTACAGAAGGCAGGCCCATCTTTGCAAAACATCTTTTGTGAGAAAACTTTCCTTAGTACACGTAAATATTAGGATTCGAGAGATAGCTGGATTTCATTCCAGTAGCCACCTTTCACAAAGCAGTCTTCGACAAGATAGCTACAATGTTTTTTAGGAAGAAACTTCTACATGTGGAACATTCATTCAATTAGGTCTGCACAGGAACTGAAGCAATATAACCAATGTTTCACAACAAGAATCCTCCTTTCTTTCCTATCTTTTCACTACACACCAAACATTAAAAAGAAAATGCAACTCTCCCATCTTCTTTTCGATCTTTGTAACTCCTATACCAACCTCGACACTAAATGTTTTAATTGAGAAGCATACAATTCAAAAAATTTGAAAAAAAAGTTGACTTGTACTCTTCAAAAGAACTCTCAGGGAGCAAAGTACCAAACAAACAAAACAGAGATTTGGGACCCAAAAATATATTATTGAATTAAAACAGCGGCAAAAAATTTATCTCTTTAAATATTACTTCACCAACTGATAATCTGATACCCATTACAACAAACATAAATTAAAGAGGAAATAAGTATTCATTAAAAAAAAAAAAAAATTATCTTTTTGTTACTAAAGTCTATTGGCCGCATTTCACAAATAAAATTAAATAAACCCGAAATTATACCAACCAATTTTCCACATTGATGCTCAAAACCAAAGAGAAATAATGAAGAACTTGAAATGAACGGATAAAATGGAAATTAAAGCAAAAGGAGAGGGACCTTGTCGTCATTGTCGCTGTCGTGGGATCGAGATGTGGTTCCCAGACAAGACGACTTGAGCACTCTGCTGAATTTAGATTTGGATCGACGCCTCCGACCATTGCCACCAAACGACGACGTTGAAGAAGAAAATGAAGACGCCGTCGCTTTGCTCCCACCCGATCCCATCTCCCTCCTTCCTGGCTCTACCCACCCCTCCAAATCCAATGCCCTTAGTACTTCACCCTCAAAATGTGATTCAAATTACAGTGCGAACCACACATTTAAGATCCACATTTACATTTGGAAAATAAAAGCAATAATTTTGAGACCAAGTAACTTACTTGCAGTTCCAGACAGAGGAGAGAGAGATCGCAGATGCGGAAATGGGATGAAGGCCTTTTTCAGGCTTTTAAGTTTTAAGCCAAAGCAACTTGTTTTATGTTTATGTTTAAAGTCGAAGTAAATTTGTGTCTGTTAGTCTTGGACTCTTTTTGAGAGGACGACATGAGAGCAGAAAGAGTGGCGTTCCCTCTGCCTACTTTTGTGCGATTCAAAATTGGTTTTTGGGCAACTGGATACTTCTTGTTAGGCTTGGGCCAACTCCGACTTCTTTCAATCCAGAACAGGCCAAGACTGCAACTTTGGGCCATATACTGAATAATAATTTACAAGCTTGTTGATATTGATGTCCTAATTTTTCAGTCTTTGACTTACATAGCAGTAGTCTCAAATTCGAATCCATACGACAATGGTACTTAAGTAGTGTGTGTATGTGAGGCAATCCCATCCCTTGTAGTTTAGACTTGTATTAAAAGTAAAAATACTGACCAAAGGAGACTTAAGACCATCCTATAAAAATGGAGTCTGACTCTCAGAGTGCTATTCTTGCAGCTGAGGGTAGGATCAAACGAAATGCTTGGGAACTTTTTCCCATTCTTAATGAAATCAGGAACTTTGGATCCCCGTTCTCTCATATAGGTTTGTTCATTTGTCCTAATAAAATTTGTTTCTTAAAAAAAAAAATAGTTGATTGTTTAGTTTGATTAATTCATGCTTAGAATTATGGAACGATAAGAGGCAAGTAATAGAAAATTATCTTTTAGCATTATTTTCATCTTAAAAAAAATATCGGAACTTTTACACTAAGACCCCTTGGGGTAACAATCCTGGATCCGCCACTGCTACAAGTGAACCATTTTCATTCAAATTGGATGCATTGCATCTTATAAGCCTTCTTTTAAGCAACTTAGTACCTACAACAGAATTTTGATGGCGTTGAGTGGTTGGCTCTGCTACCTCATACCAAAGCTTCAGATGGCCCTAATGTTCTATCCAAAGCTCTCCTTCTTTGCTGGCAGATCTGGGAAGCTAGAAACAACTATATTTTTAAAGATATTGTGCCGCACCCAGCTAGAGCCCTTCTTATGGCTGGGCGCATCATGTTGGATTACTGGAAAATTAATTCATGCCTCCTCCGAAGTCCAATGGGTTAATTAACATAAAGTGACAGCCTCCACCTCTGGACTGGATTAAAGTAAATTTTGATGGTTCGGTGCGTGGTAATTTGGCTGCAACTGGTTTTGTGATTCGTGACTAGAATGGTAATGTTCGGTTAGCTGGTGCTAAAAACTCAGGTCAAGTGTCAATTATAGTTGCGGAGTGTTTAGCTCTTCGGGATGGCCTGGCCTATGCCATTCATAATGGTTGGAGGAAGATCCTGGTGGGAAGGCGATTTAAAGCTTATCATTGATTGTGTCAACAATGTGGTTTCGGTTCCTTGGAGCATCAGTCTCCTTGTGCAAGACATTCGAGTGCTGAGTTCTTATTGCGAAGAGATTTCTTTTCAGCACATCTTTCGGGAGGCTGATTTTACTGCAGATGTTGTTGCTAGTTTAGGCCATAATCTTGCCCCTTCCCGGCTGTGGGATCGTGCGCTTCCTCTAAGTTGTTCGGTTTCGTTTTATTTTGACTTGGTGGGGCCTGCGTGTCCGCGTGGTTTCCGGTTGTAGTTTATTTCGTTTTCCTTATATATATAAAATATATAAAATAAAATAAAAAGCACGTTATGATTAGAAGAGTAATTTCTTTCATGATGTTGTGACAACTCTGGTGTGATCATTATCATCTCTGGGCTTGTTGAACTAAATGATGCCAATACCATGTACCATACATAGTTTGTAACTTGAATAAAACATAAGCAGAAATTATATTCCCAAGTCCTATAACATAGCAGTCGGATTTCAAACAAGCATGGTAAACTTAAAAAAGGCTGGTGATAAAAGCATCATCGATTTGAACACGCATAAAGAATTTTCAAGGTTCCAGAGTGAAAAGTGTTGCCTAATTGATGCATTCTTCGATTTCACAAGAATATTTCAGTGACAATATGGTTATTATAAGGGTAT